GGGGCCTGAGGCCGCTGCCCGCAGCGCGAGTTCCCGGCGTCCGGCCCAGCCTTCCCTGGCAGCGTCCTTCTCCCTGCCAATTTGCAAGTGAGATGCAGAGAATACCCGCAGGAGCTCGGGTGACTCTTAATCTTTTATTGCGGCGCAGGGAAGGGCTGGGGGTAACCAAGGGAATCAGTAGCTACAGCCCCGAAAATGCCTCGTCTGCTGTGATGAACCCTTGGCCGTTGTTGTCCGGATGGGAAAGAACCTCCGCGTTTCAGAAACAAATGATTTGCTAGTGCTTTTTCCTTAATATACTCATTGACCCCTTCCATCAGCAATTATTTTATTCTAGTTCCCCTGGAAAGGGAGGGTTTGTTAGCCTTGTTCTCTGATACACCTTCTAAAGATACAAAGAACCTATCAGGCGTTCCTCTCTCCTTGTGAAATCCTCATACATCTCACCTCCATCACTGCCGATGGTAAAACCACAGTACGTTCTTAATTTACATTCTGCTGCTGCTACTTAGAAAGAAGCTCAAAACATCACTTTTCTCTGATGTCTGTCTTTGTGACAAACCAGGGACAAGTGGAAGAAGCATTACAGGTTTCTTTTGCTCTGGGGGAAGTTTTGCTCTGGAGCCGTGCTGCTTGGCCCTGCTGGCGTGTTTCTGAAACACAGAAACTTAAACACAATTCATTCATCTTTAGAGTTTTCCTGACAGTTCAAGATCTCAAATTCAGGTCTGGCCCTGTGTCACATCTGACCCCTAAAGAGCTTGTGACGCAGACCACACCAAATTGAACTAAGTCAAGGTGCTTTTCACACAGGCAGCAATTTCTCTTCTGCTAACAAAAAAACATGGTCTGTACCATTATTCTAATTCTGACCCATTTGTGGAAAACATCTGAATTAATGTTCTCTGCATTAGGGTTTTGGTTTTTTTTTTTTTTAGTTTTTCTTTTATTATGCTGGGTACCATTTGCCAATACATATTTAGTCCAAAACCAACACAACCATTGCTATGTGTTTTCAGAGTCCTGTCTTTAGTATAGTGTCCAGACATTTTAAATGTTTGTAAAATGTGAAAATTACAATTAAACAAACTCTTAAACAATCTAAGCAGAAAATTTAAATGGGTCTTTTAAAATAAATCCTTGAAATCTGGGAATTTTGTAGCCTGTGTTTTGCTTTTGTCTTTATCTCTCTCAAACAGGTTGCGTTAAAGTTAAATTTTGCTGCTGTGAATAGAGCTTGTTAACATGAAACTCACTGGCATCGTCTGCATCCAGGAGCACTATGGAGCAATTTTCAACATGGAGGAGAAATTGTTACGTGTGTCTGGTAACAGAAGAGAGTATTTCACTGACAGAAAACTTATACTGAGCGGGGTGGCAACACCCTGGCGCCAAACCTCTAACTCTAAAGTGAACGGAAATGCTGGGGCCCGGACTGAAAACCGAATGAGAGCAGTGGTGACAGGAGGTGGAGGCTACTTTGGATACAAGCTGGGATGTGCTCTTGCCAATGCAGGAGCTTCAGTTGTTCTGTATGACATACACAAGCCTGTCTGGGAAATTCCCAACGGAGCAGTGTGTATCCAGGTATGAGGAATTACATTTTTGCAACAAAGTTCATTTGCCTTTTCCATAACGCCTTACTAGTTTTCACAGAATCCGAATCTCTAATTGCAAACGATCGCAAATGTCAATAACCGTTTTAATGCTGTGAATATCCTACATGAGTTTTTGACAGGTGATTTTAGTATATATTTTTATATAAGGAAAACAATGAAACCTGTAATGCGTAGCACAGAGCAGCCGCTTCACGTCCTGACTCTGCAGTACTCCTCAGGACCCGGTCACTGCCTTCCTCTGTGCCTTAGTGTAGCCACCTGTAGAATGAACGTAGGGGTGTTATGAGCCTTAATGAATGTTTTAAATACTGAAATGGCCTAGTGTTCAGTCCCAGGACGTACGGTAAGTACAATTACGTATGTGCATTCCCTCAGTGTTAACCCACTGTATGACACATGCTAACCTGCAGTTCGGATTTCAAGTCCAAGTATCTTTTCTTATGTATTACAGGCAGATGTGAGGGATTATGATGCCGTATCTGCAGCCTGTGAAGGGGCTGACTGTGTGTTTCATGTAGCTTCGTATGGAATGTCAGGAAGAGAGCAAGTGAGTCCAAATAGTTTTGTTTTTTTCTGTGTGACTACCCACACTGAGATGAGAGACTCAATGCTGTAACGCTGCGTGTTAGATTTTATGTCTTCAGCTTATCCTGAGAGCTTGAATCCACATCCACGCTGGTTTGGTAAACTGCTCTGTGCAAACAGCTTACAGTGCTGTTCTCCTAGTTGTGAAACGATTTCCTCCCCGTTAGAGGCTCTACCAGCAGCCTGGGAGGGCTTGTTGGTTGGCAATGGCATTGAACGGTTCTGAGATAGCGTGAGGACGAAAGGAAAGACAAGGGAGGCTGATTCCCTCCAAAACCCTGATCCTTCCCTGACCCTTTCACGTGGAAGTCCTAGGGGTAAGGTCACTGGGAGGAATAAAACCAGAACTAAATTATAAATAATTTTATATAACTAAATTATAACAACCGCTGTATTTCAAGTCTTCACTGTTTGCCATCGGGTAAAAAGCTGTAAGGATGTACTTATGTAGGGGACTGAGCCACAAATTTTATGATTACAGTTACAAATACACACCCACCCTTTTTTACCTTATTACTGAAGTTCCTTTTACTAAATTACCTTAGCTGGATAGAATAGCTCATTCAAAGCTATTGGCAGTTGAGCAATGCATGCTTGGAATTGCTCTGGGTAGAGGCAACTGGTCACTGAAGTGCTACCAAATCACGGACATTTAAGATATTGCTGCAAGATGTATAACTGGAAATACACATTCAGAACCACGGCAGTTCTCTTTGCTTCAAGCAGGCTAATCTGTAAAAAATACAAGAAAAATACAGGCATAGTTTAAAAATAATGATTTGACTTCTTGAAGTCTGAAACAGCAGTCTAAAAGAGCTTTTTTATAATTTAAACCCTTTACCTTTATTTGGGGACATTTATGACATCCCCCTGTGGTATTTAAAATGTATTATGATTAAAAAATGCACAATTTCTTTATTTTCCTAGTTGCACAGAGAAGAGATCGAAACTGTAAACATTCATGGAACAAGATTCATCATTGATGGTATGTATCTAACCTTGCCATCGGGTGTTAGTATAGCACATCAACATATTATACCACTTAGAAAAAGCCAGTTGGCTTTTTTGGCACACACTATTTTTTACCAAATACTTCACATTTTTGGCAGAAGATGAGGAAACATGTCATTGGGTTTTTTATGCTCAATTCTGCTATGGGGTGTGATATGAGAGCCAGCACTGTAGTTCACCTACTTCAGCTTTTTGGACCCATGTCTGACCTGATGTCAGAATCAGTATCCGTGTAAGGAGTTAATTATTTCCAGGTGTATTTTGCAGCAGTAAACCTCGTTGCCATCTAATAGCTTGTGCACAGGTAGTGGGCAGCCCTTGAAGCAGAAGGACTTCTGGCCACCTGCCTGGCTGGGGCTGCAGCCCATCTCGGCAGGTCGGTAGCCCTCCCAGAGGCACAGGGTTAGCTTACAGCACCCAAATCGGGATGTGCCAGGTGATGAAGCACTTGGCTCTAAATGGATGTCTTCCCTTTAAATCTGCTTTGCATTTTAAATCACCCAATCATAAAATTGAAGGATTTGCTCTTTTAAGATTTGTCAGTTTCTCAGGAAAAGCTCATACAAAATTTTACCGTATCATTTCATTTACGCTAAACTAATTTACTTTATACATTGCCGCAGCCTGCAAACAAAGGAACATCGCTAGATTGATATACACCAGTACAGTAAATGTGGTGTTTGGAGGGCTTCCTATTGAAGATGGTGATGAGGAAACCGTGCCATATTTTCCAATAGAAAAGGTATTTTGGATGTATTATATTTTCATGTTTCCTCTTTCTTTACTTTCTTGTTCTAAAAAAGCCTGAAGTTTTCATGACCTTGTTTTGCCAAGAAAGCAAACTCTTTACACTCTTTATAGATGCTGTTCACAACATTGACACATCAGTTTTATGTACATTGCGGTATATATTTCTTTGTTTCCTATCAAGGCCTTGGTTTTGGAAAATAACTCATACAGTGTCCTGTTAACATTAATGAAATTCCACCTGGACATAGGGATTGTGTTGTATGGCTTGGTGCCTCCTTAGCCATTCATTATTTATACGATTTGGCTGTTTCTCCCTTATCGAAGATGGCATAAATTCAATGTAGAGCTGATATGGAAAAGCAGCCTATTTTTGTATGCTTTTATTGCATTTAATTAAAAAGGAGAAAGCACTTCTGGGTGCTCTGCATACACAGTTGGCTTTTGTGTCCTTCCTCTCTCCATCAGGTACTTCACAGTCTTTCAAGAAGTAGAGATGGACAGAGGAAATACTGAGTAATATTTTGAATAATATATCAAATAATATTTTCTCTGGGACAGTGCCACAAGAAAGTAAACAGGATCATTCACACCAATTGTAATGTCTTCAAAACTTAGCTTTTGACTTTTCCGTTACCTGAAAAAGAAATCCAGATTACAAAGTAGTGATCAATTACATTCTTGGCAGCATTCAAAGCATACATATATTTATTCCTTCTCCAATGAGGTGAAATTAATTAACTGGATTTGCATAAACAAAAACACTTGCTTACCTTAGCAATATCCATGTCTTTTATCCTAAACTAATACCCCACAGCTTCTGTATTTTGAGGTATTTGTTGCCATCTTCTAAGTAAAAATGAGTGGAGAAGAGATGCCCCTCTGCTCTGTCATTTCAAGAACAGATAAAAACATATTTGCTTTTTCTCTGTAGCATGTTGATCATTATTCCAGAACCAAATCAATTGCAGAACAAATGGTCCTAGCAGCTAATGGAAGTCCACTAGCAGGTACTTATGTCTTAGCATGAATTCATAGTGGAATTTACTCCTCCTCTTCTTGTTCCTCACTAACATCCTGTGTCCTGTATCAATCCTTCAGTGGACAAGACCGTCCAGCAATTAGGAAATGAAGTTATCGACCCCCTCTCACAAACGAAAAGATTTTCACGTAAAAATTACTTTTAATTGTTTTTCGTTCCCACAGTGTCCATAAAAGGTGTTAGCATGGTAGCAATGAGTTCAGTATGTTAACTGAAAAGATGAAGACAGCTATAAATTAAACAAACCCAAGTGTTTAATGTCACTGTATTATGCAACATAAGTAAAACATGAATGCTGATTAAATTGTTACACACCACCCCCAGTTATATATTAAAATCTGAAGAAGCCACCTGATACTATAGCCTGGAATTATTTATTAGTACTTCCCAAAGTTTTCCATGTTGAGAAAGCCAGTTATACACTTGAATACTTAAGCTCACCTGTGAGATACTATAACTGCCAGTGCAAAACAAATTAATGTAAAGTGCAACACGATTCTATGTGACCCAGTGATACTGAGCTAAGTTTAGCTGTAGACAGCTTGCAGAAAAGACTCTCTTCACTTGATACCTGCAGAGAGCTATAAAGAGATATAAAGTCACTGATGGGCATTCCAGCCCTATAGAATTATTTCGTTTAAAAAATAAAGGGGTTTTGCCTTATTTCCTCTTTTCTCAGCAGCTCTTCACATCAAAGACCCTCTTAATTTTAGAAGTAATACACAGTTCTGCATTTGTCAATGAAATCAGAACCAGTCACTGTTCTGAACATCCTGTTTTGATCCCATGTCATAGCAGGATCGAGTATTTTGCATGTTGCCACGTACTATTAAGAACAGTTATTAGCAGATGATGAACCAGCCAACTGATATACTGGGGAAGTGACTGGATTTTTATGGTGGTCCTTACTTTCTCCCACTGAAGTTATCAAGAGCTTCTACAGCAGTTCTGGTTCTAGTGGGAGCTGGCTGTGCCTACTGTTGAGAGAACCTTTCAGCTCTAGTTCATACTGCTAGTGAGTCACTGTTTCCCAGCAATAATGTTGAGATTAGTTGGTTTCATTCCACTTTCCTACCACTAACTTGCTCACTTCAGCAAACTCCTCACCACAGTTGGCACATTCATTCGCTGCTTTGGCAAACAGACAAAGGACTGGTTAGAAAGAGGGTTTGAAATATCTGGTAATTTCTAGGAACCTGACTATGCTGGCAGGACTTCTCTGAATCTTATCTTGCTATTTTGTATGTTCTGATTCTGCTAACTTAATATCCAGCTACTAATTCCACACCTTTTGCTGTCTATTATTTTTTAAGATGGTGAAGTAATTTATTTCAGAGTAAGTTCTGCTACCACAGTCTTTGGTTCATACAAAGATATACCATAGTCATGTGAAAGAAGGCTCTTATCAATTCTTTTAGGAGGTGGAATACTGTATACATGTGTCCTTCGCCCACCAGGAATCTATGGACCAGAAGAGCAAAGACACTTGCCAAGGCTAGCAGTATGTATTCTGATTTTTTAATCAGCAGAATTTTCTATAATATACAACAGCATCACTTCTTTGTGTTACAAATTGACTGACCTTCTTAGTGGGCAGGAATTCAACAATTCAATTATCTGTTGAGGACGTTATAACTTTTTTTAAGAGGCACTACATTATATCTGTAAAGAATGTATGGTACATTAAAAAAACCTTTTTTTGAAATACAACCACATATAAGTCCAGCTTTATAATTAAATGCTCACTATAAGATTCAGGCCAATCTATGATATGTCAAATGCCTGTTTGCATGCAACTTACACCAAATGGTTTAAAATATTAATGAAAAGAGATACGGCAAAATATCTTCTTTCCAGTCTCAACTATTAACAGCTTTCACTACCCAACGAAAGAAGTTAAGGAGTCGGAAGCACCTTCTGGTACAATGGGTTACTAAAGGGCAGACAGCTGACGTGTTCATGTTTTACTCTTTTTCACTTTTAAATTGTAGGACTAGCACAGTGTTTAGAATATGATCCCTGTAGAATTATATGAGTCTGTTATTTTAAAACCATCACTACAATATAACCTTACACACAGCTTTGAGGAAAGACTAGATTCAAGCTTACCACATAATAAATACTTTTGTTTTGTGGCTGAGGTAGGGAATTATATTGAAGTCAGCCAAAATATACTTTAGCATCTTCTAAGTAAAATAAGAATGGCAAATGTAATTTTAGTTAAACCTGAGATGTTTTCTTTAGTCCCTGGAAAAAAATTTAGTCTTTTAAAATTTCTATTTAAGATTTTAAGCTTATTTATTATGAGCCCATCTTAAGGCATTACGCAACTGTAACATTTTTCAGTTTCTAAAATGTACCCATTAAATGAAAAATGTGACACCTAGCATTACTTTCCATTTTTTCCCAGCCAAAGCTATTTGCTAAATTTGATCCGAGTTTGTAAATACTTTTGATCCATTCAGAACTGTATCTTACCTTTCCATACAATATTTTACTTATCCTTAGAACAGACTCATAGTTTTTGTAAATTAAAGATGTATTGTGTTCAATATGTTCTTCGATCCTTCCTCATGAGCAGTATTTTTAGGCCGCTCTGCACTTCTCCTGATTCTTTTTAACTGATTCATGTATTTTTG